AAGGTTATCCTTTGCCATAGGGACAAATACATAAGTCTTTATATGCCTTCTGCTCTATTCCCTTGAGCTCTATTTGTCTTAATTTAAAAATAATACAGTATTGCTTTGGCATACGAGCTGTTCCCCTCATTACTCAATCTTTTTTTTTTTTCTTTCCAATAAGTCAACTTGTGATTAATCCACAATGCTGAACTTGTGACTTTGCAGATGCCAACACAGTAAAGTGACTGGGATATCATCACAGGCATGAGATAGTGACTCTCCAGGGAGATCAAAAGGAAACCAATATGCGAGAAAATGCTGCCATTATTATCTGCAAGCGGGTTAGCTCAATGTCACTGCAGCAAATTCTTTGTGGTTACTGGAAGTCATCTCTTAGTACCAGAGAGCAGTCCTATCCCCGAATATCTGCTAAAGAGCATCAATAAGAACATTAAAAACAGATAAAAAACAAAACCCAAAATGCTTAATGCTCTTAAGTCTTTGTACTGTCATGGCAATGTACTGTGGCAGTTTTCTCTGGGATGCATTGTTCTCTCTGGAAAAGTAGAGCACAGCATTTGAGGGAACTCTACAGCTGGTTTCAAGGAAATTATTTCTCTGATATCTGTGCAGCTGTGCCTACACGTGCCTGTTGAAAGTTGTGCTCTTTAAGTTGATCTGTCATATAGACCTGACAGCAAAAAATGTGTTGCTCATGATTTTATTTGCTCGCTGTCTATTAATGAGTGCAGTGGAAGTACAGCACCTGGGCTGAATGTGCTGTGATCTGCTTTCACCAGCATTCACAGTCATCGGCACCTCTCTGGGCTGTCGTCAAGCTGCCAGGACGCATTACTGCAAATTACTGAGCAACTCTCGTAGTCTTCAGGTGCTGCTCAGAGCTCGGGAGATTCCAGCTCCAGTTTTATCTAAATGCTGGCAACCTGCCATGCGTTTGTGTGAGCTTAACTGCAGAAGGTCAGAGGATGACCCTGAAAGCTGTTCGGCTGTTTCTTGCTTGGAGCTGAGCTGGGGAGATAACGTCACCCGAGATGCACTCTTGCACAAGGGGCTGGATCATTTGATGGGTTTCTTTTGAAGCCCCGTGGGTGGGCACGAGCTGCACAGCTTCTGGGCTGTGCCGCTGAGAGTACCGAGTGTTCAAAGCATGTCAGGTAGAAGCGACCTCTAACTAGGAACCAGAGGCTCCTCATTCAAAGAAGGCCGGGCAAGGATTGGCATGAGGGAAGGCATTTCTGCCCATCTGGATGCAAGGACTGCATGAGGCTGGTGGCGTCCATGCCAGGACAAGCAGGAAGGAATCATATTCTCATGCTCACACGTGCGCTACAGAGCTGGTCAGCTGCAGAGGAAAAGCCCTCCTGGTCTCTCTGTCAGGCATGGAGTATCCTCCTCGCTGTCTGCTGGGACGGATGCGGTATGGTACCCGCAAAGCCACCACTAGAGTGGGGTTGCCTGCAGGACTCCTTGTATGGATTGGGAGCTAAAGGAAAATACATCTGAGCTTCTAGTACCATTTCTAGAAACTTGCTGATGCACGGCATTTGTCCCCAGATTTCTCAGCCTCTAACCAGCCTGTGAAATGTCAGAAAGCTGGATAGGGCTTCTATTTTTACAAATGGGGAACAGAAAACTTCATTTGCTTCTAATATCTCCCCTCATGCGGAGCGCAAGATGGGCAGCAGCTTTTTGGCAGTGTTAGGCCATCAGACCAGCTGTAATCAGCACGTGTTAGGCTTCTACATGGGCTCCTGGCTACCTGTGTAATGTCCATCTGTTGAACTGGGCGTGATGCCTACTGACGCTACGATCCAGGTCATTTGAGTGAGGCACGGGTTTCCAGGAGGTGATGATGTTCCTGAAGGACAGTTTGCAGTAGCATGACAAATGCTGTCCCTTCTGCGTGAAGTCCCTCCCATGCACTGCTCTCATGGCAGTGCCGTTCACTTCTCGTTACTATAAGGGGAGATTCATCTAGAAGAAATGTAAACGTGTTGTGGCAATGATAGCAAATGAATATTCAGAGACAGTCCCTGGCCCTCTGTGACTGTATCTGAGCAATTTTAATGTATTCATCTTAGAGCTGTGCAGTGCTTTTCTGGGAATGGTAAATTTGCTGAAAAAATGCAGTTTCAGAATAACCACATCTATTTGCCACCTGAAGTGAAATTTGTTAACCAGCTGTAAGTGGGAAAGGACATGGTGAAACCAGCTTCCAGGAGTGACAGACGACGCGTTTCTGCCTTCCCCTCAGCCAGGGTGCAGGGACCCCATCGCATCAAGCTGTGTGCTCCCTTACTGTGAAAGGGAGTTTGAACCTGCATCTCCCACCTCCCAGTGGATGTCCCAAGTTACGGGGACGGGGATAGTCTGAAAGCCTGCTGCTGGTCTTATTCTACCTTTTGTAAGCAATTAGGATGATTAGAACAGGGTTTGGACACTGAAGCTCTGAGGGCCTAGGTGAATATTGAAAGTATTAAGCTAGGGAATTTTTTTTTTAGCCTCAGTGACTGTGTCCTGATGGAAATGGAACAAGTTTGATAGGATGCACCCAACTCCTGTACAGGATAATCTGACAGGTTGTCTTGCTGCTCCTTAGGAAGAGAGGATGGTAAAGCCTGTTTTGGGGAACACTTAGTTAAAGGTCTGATAGTAATGGAGTGAGAGGGCCCGTATGAGAAGGTACAGCCAGACAATGAATTTCTGCCAGGGCACCTTGGTCTTGGCTGGCCTTCTATATTCAGCTGTGTCTTGGCTATTTCTACAGAAAAGAATGCCAAATGCAATAAGTTATGAAATGATTTTTATTGTTTTGTTTTGTATGTTCAGGTTGAATTGATTTCTTGCTTGGAAGACAGTGGCTTTGTCTACATTAGCAAGTAGCACCATGCAGTAGGAGCAGATCTGCAGAGCAAAACAGTAATGAAGACCTAGGCAGATTTCAGGGGGTTTGCTTCAAAACAGCTTTATTCTAATCCTGCTTGAAGGAAATTTTGAAAGAAACTTATAGCAAATCAGGAGACCAAATATTGCATGTTAAAAATGTCAACAAAACCTTTCAACTTATTAGGAATATTTCAAGTTTTCTGCCAAAACAAAGACTTAAAAAACCTGGTACATGTTCATGAGACACTTCAATGCTGTTGAAGCTGTATTTTTTTGTTGGCAATTGTTTCAGCTGAAATTTTATCTGGTGCTTCTTTAGGTCGTCTGGCATCCTACTTAAAACCTGTGTATCTTGCTGCGTGTGTGATTCTTGCTGTTGTTTCAAAGAGGTCTATACACAAAATTACTCTCTTCATAACACTTTAAAAAAGGTATTCTTATGCCTATCTCTGCCTGCACCACAGAAAGGAAAAAAAAATCCAGTGCTGTTGTCTCAAGTTTTTGTTCTGACTCCTCTGCTGTGTGACTATGAAATCAGTCATGACACGTTTGCCTTAGCTGCAGGAAACTGAGGGAGAGGAGGCAGCAACAAGGGCAAGATGGGCACTTGGGAGCAGAGAAAAAATTAGGGATCACATGCAGGAGAGCAACCCAGCTGCAATGAAAGGAGTGCCTGTGAGGCTTGTGCAGAAGTGGCTTTTAATGTAGTAAACTTTGCCTGCATGCTGAAGTCTATAGATAGTATCACGTGGTAAAGGCGGGGAGGACTTACTGATGCTCTGAAGATTACGTGGACTCTGGAAAGAAAGCAGATTATCGAGAGTAAATCATAGTGACTTTCTCATGCAAAGGTACCCTCCAATGCAGTCAACACCCCAAGACAGCAAGTGTTCCTGTTACTTAGCAAGTTTGTGGTTTAGGTATTGGATTTCACCCATGGCTGTGGCTGACCTCTGTATCAGCTACATCCAATGATACATATTTGGGATACTTTAATATTTTACTGAAATGTGATTTGTTTAGTGTCAGACGTCAGGACAGGTCAAACATCAGTCCAGGTTTTGGTGTGTGTGAATGGCCTAGGATTTCCTGCCAGATGTCTCGTTCCTCTTGGCATATCCAGAAGCATATGGCAAGGAAAGGTTATAGTCTTGACAGGATGCTGGTTTTGGAGTAGTGTGTAAGTCTAACATCAGGGATAAAACAGACATCAGCAAATAGCTATTGGCAATTTAACAAATTGTAACCTGATGTTGTTTCTATATCAAGAGATGAGAAGACTATCATATTAGAGAAACAATCTGTACATATACCTTGCCCTCCTCATAGTTGCCATCTAGTCTCTCCTTTAACTTGTGTGCTACAAATACCAGCTGCTTTTAAACCTACTCAGTGTGTAAATCGTGCCATCTTAAACACCAACTCTGGATATTGTTTGGTGCCTGTTGCTAAATTTTTGTGGTGCCACTTATCCAAAACAATTCATTGATTTCTGTTTTATTGTTTGTAACAAAGTATGTTCTTTGAGATTTCTCTCAGTTCCAGAACGAGAATTAACTACTATGGTAGCACAACCTAAATCACTATACAGGCATAACAAAAACAATTCTTCCAAGTCTTACCAGTTTTATAAGTCCAAAGTTTCTATTTAAATATTTCTTGGTGTTGCTTGTTCAGCATGTAACTTTGATTCTTTTTTAGTATGCCTTTAAGAAATAAGAACAACACGGACTTTAAAATTTCTTTTAAAGATTCCTGTGCCTGAAAAAATAAGTTGGGTTTTGGACAAAAAGAAAAATGTCACTAAAAATTATTGATTTTCAGGAAAAGTGTCAGTGTTCATTCAGGATTTTTTGAAAAGATGAAATCAGAAACGCTTTGGTTTCTGGAGTTAGCAGGATGCCAGATAGTTTTCAACTGTCTATTCAGGTTTATGTTTTTAGAAGAGAGGCAGTGTCAGACAGTCAGAAGTTTGTCTGGACTTTCTCTGGGTCGAGAAAGGTGTGCCGGTAATTGTAAATATGTGTACGAAGAGCAGCTTTTTAGCTGGGTTTTGAAATGACTGGGAGATCCTATGTGTGACCAACTTGTTTTTCTCTGTTGTTTTACAGGTTCCAGAATCTGCTGTGGTCTCGAAAAGCGTTTGTGGACAGCGTGAAGGTGTATAACCACAGCTACATCTACATGCCAGCATTCTCGATGAAGACGGGGACAGGACCCTCCCTACGTGTCTATTACACCCTGGAGGACTTCGGTGCCAAGCAGGCGGTCCTTTTTGCCAACCCCAATTTCCTGCGTGACATTGGCAAGTTCTGGAAGAGCAAAGGTATCCATGCCAAACGGCTTTCCACGGGACTTTTCCTAGTCAGTGCCGCCCTTGGTCTGTGTGAAGAAGTAACAATTTATGGCTTCTGGCCATTCTCGGTGGACCTGCACGGGAAGTTTATTAGCCATCATTACTATGACAATGTCTTGCCCGATTCTGGATTCCATGCCATGCCGGAGGAATTTCTACAGCTCTGGTTTCTTCATAAAAGTGGTGTACTGAGAATGCAGCTAGAACCATGTGAGGACCCTTTAATCCAGTCTTCTGCCTGAGGATTGTAGGAGTCGGTTTGGGAGATCCAGTAGTTTTTAATTTCCATGCTCTCCAACAGAGAGTTCTGTTTTCTGTTGATTCTTTTTAAAGGGAAAATAATCGTGGATCTGCATGGACCATAAAAATGCTACTTGAAGGCCAAATGGAATACGTCCTTAATGTATAGTGCTTTATGGAACTGGGGTGGGGGAAAGCGAATCTCTCCATTGAGTCCATTCAGCAGCATTATGAAAGTAATGTCAGAAGCAGCACAGCTGAACTTTCCGGGGGACATTTTTAAATGACCGATGTAAAAAGGGCATTAAGGCTCGGAGAGATACAGGGCCACCCACAAGCTTTTGCTGACAGTGCCAAATATGACTGTCTGTTCAAAAATCCATTTCATTCCAGATTGGCACCTTGTACAACTTTCCTATTTCCTTTTTTTTTTTTTTCCTCTGTGTGGGGGGGGTGTGTGTGTAGGAGAGCATGTGTGTGTTGTTAACTTTGTTTCTTTCCTTTTTGTTTTTCCTTTTTTTTCTTCTACTTTTTTTTTCCCCCAATGGAAGGAAAAGGAAAGGCTTAAAAGCCCCAGGAGCTGAGTACCATCAACTCCTTCCAAAGACTCTTGGGAGAGTGAAGGGTGCTAAGAATCTGGTTAGAAGAATGTCCTAGGAATGCCCTGCTACTGAGTATGGGTGGACCTACTTGCTGTAGGTTTTATCAGGATAGTTTAGGTCATTGCACTTATAGCTATGCTAATGCTATACTGTGGGCAAGAGCTGGTTAAGGGAAATTGGTCTGAAAATAAAACTTGTGTTACAAAGCCAGTAGTGAAGTGCAGCCTGGTTTCAGCTGACCTGCTGCAAGATTTCCGCAGTGACTTTTGTAGCAGGGGTGGTTCCTGACGTGTTTTGCTGTCCAGCCTTGGGGATTAATTCTGTATTCATTTGGACTCCGGATGTTCATTGACTGTCAAGGGGATTTGAGGTGTTCAGTGGAATGCAGAATGAGGTTCTTAATTTGCTTATAGCAGAAAAACTGCAGAAATGAATGTGTCATTTAAAATGAGTTGAAGCTTCGAAAATCCTTTCTCTTTGTGTGACTAGCTCTTCTGCTTGGATTGTAATGTTAGCCTTAAAGACTTGTACTTTTCTTGCAGGACTGTCTCTGGTTAAAGATAGTCTGAAAAATAAAACAGCCTTTGGGAGCACTGAAAAACTGCATAGCCAGCAAGAAAAAAGTAAAAAAAGAAAACGGCAGGCCCTTACGTAAGGCAGCCTCTCTCCTCGCAGTGGGTGAATTACGTCAGTGTGCGCGTTGCACGTGCGCTGCTCCGGCCAGCGCAGCGCCTGAAGGACTGTTTTATTTTGGGTTATTACTTGGGCAGCAGATGGTCCTATCGCCATGTAAATGAGAAATCTTTTTGTTTGTTTGCTTTGGTTTAGCACTGTAGGACAAGAAGAGAATACCAGCTCAGTCCACGGTGCAATTTCAGCTGCAAGATGTTATCACCATTAACTTTAAAATCCAGACCAGTGTTCTTTTTCTTATCCTTCTATCATTAGTAGCTGAAATTCTAGTCAAAATGTTGAAACAACAAAACTGTCATCAGGTTTCCACAACAACTTCCTGTGCTACCTGTTTTAGCTCCAAAGTGCTAGTATTTTGGGGGATGTGTCCTATCGTATGTTGACAGCGTCTCTCTTTGTAGACTGCCAGCTACAAGTTATATAGTTATAATTAAAAAAAAAAAAAAAGCAAAATCCATGGCTCTTCTTTAAATATGAATAATACAACTATCTATGTAGGACACTGGGGGGAAAAAAATAATGTTTTGCTTTTTAACCCTATGTTTCATATTAAAATCTTCTTTCTAAATATGGATATTTCAAGCATAAAGTGGGCACTGTTCCGTAGGATTACAGGGCAGTGTAAACTGTAACATGGAGATTTGGATTAAATAGTGTTCTAGAGATAAAATCCAAATGTGCTTCTATAGCCCATTTTATCTTTGTCCATTTTTTTGTTAAAAGTACAGTCAACACACTGATGGAACATCACTTGATAATTCGTTCCCTTTCGTTATGTTTGTTCTATCTATGATGTGGGTACTCCGTGAGGAAGGATTTGAAAGTGATTTTCTTTACTGCTTGTTATGGCAGAATTGTACTGAGCTGCCCTTCTTGGAGAAGAAGGGGTGCCTGTGTGGTTTTTATTGTACGTGTCAAGTTTTGCACTTTTTAGTGCTTTAAAGATGACATTATCTGTGAGAACAACAGTGGAAATATGGTGTGCTAAAATGGCACTTCATCAGGGTGCCAGCATTTCCTTGGGGGTGGGAGGGAATGAGGAGAGTAGGGCGGAACTGCCTCTTTGCTGGTCTTTTTTTTGTATTTTTATCAATACTTGGGAATTTAGTTCTGAACCTCTCTGACGGCTCTCCAACCCTTTGGTAATCCTTTTTTCCGTGTCTTGGGAAAATAATTGGATTGGAAGAACAAGAGAAAAACATGTATTTTTGTAGGAAAACTGTGTGCAGTGTTTCATAATGTCTGGCTTGTTCATGTTCAACCGGTGCTGTGGGTATCTGGAGATGTTGTAGTCCCCACCTCTGTAAGACTGAGGCAGACTGAACCTGTGGCCTGTGGTCTTTGTGAGTCCTTTCTGATGTCTGTAGTCATGACGTTTGCAAGGACATAGCTTCCAAAAAATTACGGGGGTAGGAGAGACCCAGGCTGTGTGTGACGTGTGACTGATGTTGGAGAAATTGATAATTCTGGCTTTGTTCACATTTACGTATAGTGAATATAACTGCATCTTTCAAAGACAACCACATTTGATGGGAAAGTAAAGCCTTCAAGGATAAATAATTTTCTATAACTTCCAGAAAACTGGCAGCTAAGGAAAGAAGATAAATGAAAATAAATGCCCCTTTTGAGAGAGCAAAATCTGTTTTAGCTGGCTGACTTGTCAGTCCATGCAAACACTGGCCAGTGATCAGCCTTTAGCTCAGCAAGTAAAAAGGGATGCAGGGGAGTACTGCAAGTGTTTTGTGGCAAGAGCAGTCACACACACACAAAAAAAGCAAAGCAGCTGGGAATGTGAGAGTGGCAGCTGCCTGACAGAAATGTTGGAGTAAAAATGCTCCGTCCATGCTGCTGCTCAGCGCGAGGCTTGCCTTGTCTAAATCTAGGGCGCGGGGGGTGTGTCCATGTATAGGATCATTGATGTGAAATACGGCATTGCATGCAAGGGACTGAAGTTGCATCCTTCTTCAGGAGGGAGGTCACACCATGGGATAGGACCATACTTCTGTGTAAAGACAGGCACAAGCAAATCCAGGAGGCTAACTGTAAGTGTTAACCATGAGAAATCAGCATCTCGCAGCCATGGCAAACTTTGGTCAGAGTGATTATATCCATCCAGCATTTACTTAGTGATTGATGCCAGTCCATTGATGGCAGTGCCCTTAATCAAATCTCATTGCCTGTGATGCTGTATTTTCCTTGAAGTGGATTGAAATCTTGATGTTTATTTTGTTAGTGAAATTCCCTACTCTAGCTTCTCTATTTCCGCTGCCAGTCCCTGAATTTCTCTGATAGTGTAGCTAAAGCTGCACGAGTCTTTGCCAGGTTGAAAGCTACTGCAATTCATCTTCAACAAAAAGTAGTTGAGACTGGCCAAATGATTTGTTAATGTTCCTAGTTATTAATTTTATCATAGAGGTGACAGGTACAGAAGCGCTGGAATCATTGCTCTGCATAGGAAGCATTGCCCCATGTTTGTAAGCAGAATAAATTAAATTCCTTTACAAGAGCTGTGCATGGAAGATATTCAGTTCTGAAATCGCTCTAGATATAATCTTTTTTGGGGTGTATATGCTTTTGAGTAAATCAAGACCAATTTTTGAACTTGTGCCAAAACTATGTAAAACTTCTTCCTGTTGATAACGAAGCCTTTGGAGCTCCTTCTAAAACAGACAAGCAAAAGAGAAGCCAGCAAACTAAAATCATAGAGAAGGGGTGCATGTGCTCATGAGAATAAAAACATTTATAATTTTGGCACAGACCTTACTATACTACTAGGACTCTTATTCATGAATGTTGTATTTTTGTATTTTTGCTGAAATGAAGATACCAAGTTTGGGCTGAACCAGCTACAAAAGTCAAAGGTCCAAGCCTCTGTTACAGCTTAACTTTTGTAGAATATAGAAATATGGGCCGTTTTGTCGACTTGACTACTTTCGCCTTTTTGTTAGCTTCATCAAAATGGTGTCATAACATACACTGCTGAGTTTGCATCTCTGTGGGAGCTGAAACTAAGCAAAACATCTGCTTTTTTAAACAATGTCTGAACTGTGGTAGTTATGTGAAACCGTTCCTCTATACATCTTCATGGAAACTGGTTTAATATCTGGCTCACCCTTGCCTGTAATCAATAAGGAGAACACGAGTGAGGAAACTTTTGATCTAGAAATGAGGATGATGAAGGAGGTGGATGCTATCTCACCATTTGCTGCCTGCTTTGGTTCTTTTCTTCAGCTCAATAGATTACTAAGTATTGGAAGAAGTCCAGGTTATATGAAGGACAGGCAGTTCTTGAAGAGTTGGATGATGCTGGATAAAAGGAAGATCAAATCAGTGATGTAACAAATTGGAGTGTAGCAATTCTTGATAAAGATCCTCAGTTCTAAGCAACTGTAGGACATTTTCATCTGGTAATGACTGTGAAAAATGGACTACCTATGACCTACCGATGGTTTTCTGCAGGATGGCAGCAAAGCAAAATGCTCTGAGGTGGGGAAACTGATTAAACAGAAGGGGAAATAAAATGGAACAAAGAATGACGATGAAAAATCTGTCTTTCCCTTGTCTCCTGCCACTCCCCCCAAAACACATGTATAAAATGGACTAACCAGCTATTATCCTGAGTCACCGTCTCCTTCATGAAATGATATCATGGGATTTCCATTAGCTGTTGCTTCCTAGTAAACAAAATTCATCAGACCTTGTCCAGAAATGCCTATTCCCTGGCTCCATGGCTGTTTGGGGGATGCTTTGGGGGCTGTGGCTGTCCTGGTGTGCTGTGACCTCCCTAATGGGACCTGCTCCTAATGTCATGTGGTACCATCAGATCTCCCTCTGGGGTCATCTGGACTTGTATTTGCGCCCCAAGAAGTCATGCTAAAGAATCTCTCTGCTCTATCCTTCCTGATGACCATTCTCCGTGGGGTTAGAAGTGTGATGTAAAAAATCAGCCGTAAGGC